TTTTAATTGCTACCGTCAAAGTAAGAAAGCACATTGGAGCAGAACACTTAAGATACTGTTTTTTATTTCACATATTCTCTTTAGCTACATACAACCTTCAAAATGGTGTTTGTAAATTACCGAACTAAGAAAGCTTAACGAAGCAAAGAACACCGTGGAATCATTTTTCTTAAATGTTACAAACAGGCAAAATGACAACGACGAAAAATTATGTTACACCACTATGCAATTCCACATTTGCGCCGCTCAAAATAATGGTTTATCAAAAAGCTAACTACTGTTTTTCCTTTTTAGACCTAAACACAACACATCAGAGAGGTAAAAGGCACAGACGTTTGCCAACTGGAAAGAGATCTAAAATGGAAGATATTTCAGCTTTCATCCTTTTTGCCTGACAGAATATGATTCGAGTTGGTGTAAAACACTGCTGCAAGGTGAAGAATCTCTGTTCAACAAATACTGGAGGGCAGATATGCTTTGATTGAGAAGTATCTTCCTGAATGTTGTAATCCCTTAAGCTTAATGAGAAACCATGTGAGACAAATTCGTCCTTCCCTTGTACAAAGTAAACCTGAAAACAAGCCAGTAGCTGTTCAACTGGTGTTTAAAGACCAAGTTGTGTGTATGATCAATCAACAACCGAAAGCTGCAATAAAAAAATATTTTCACTAATGAAAAGCTGGTAATTTTATGCACGATTTGATGTGCAGTTACCCCAATAAAAGTTGTCAACTAGAGTTACGTTAACAGTTGTCAAAGCAAGCAAGCTGAGAGAAGAGCGAGATGGGTGAGCTGATTTATGCCTTCTTGAACATATTTAAATGAATCTACGCTTTAATACGAACAGATGCATCAACATCGTGTGATTTTAAAGAATTGATGAGGTTGGTGAATTTTGTTATCTCCCTTTGACTTTAAAGTGTTACGATTGTGATTTTGGATCGTCAGTACTAAGTCAGTCATCTTCATTCCCAAGTCAATTTATTAATTTCTTACTAAATAGATAGATATCTCCACAGCTTTCTGATGTTTCAAACTATCTTACTCTTTGTATTCGAATGTCTGTTCAGATAACTAATAGATTTTTAGGTCTGCATTTATTCTCTTCTGTTAATTCAAATTCGTTAGATTGTGAGCAGCGAAAGAGTGGCCTATGAAGTGTGGCGATATCATCATGTTCTAGTAAATGTATCACGCTTGATTAATTCAAGCTTACAAATAAATCAGAGGTTTGGATTTCCTTAGATATATAGCCAAGAATTAGATTTCATGTATACCTCACTACAGACTGATTAGAAATCAGGGCCTAGATAATAACACCCTCATGCGGAAACCAGAAGGCGTTTATTACAACCTTGTTACGCAGTTATTACCAATATAAGTTACTCAATAATCAACTAATTGTAGTATGACTTCACTACTGTTATCACATCATCAGAATGAATGGTAACAAATTAACTAGTAAAGTTGTTCACTACAAGGCTGGTATCAAAGTAACCAGTTGACTTATAACTTTAGGAATATTTTTGACAAGAGTTCAATAATTTGTTACTTCAATTATAGTTTCTGCTCACTTTATAAAGATTGATGAATATTTCATTTTTGTGTTTCTATTTGTATAGCATACTTAGAAAATCTCGAGAATAATTGTAATCATAAAACTATAGCTCAAAAAAAGGATGATCACTTGAATAGGTAATCGGAAATGGAACTATTCACATACATCAAACTGGATGAATCGACAGAAGAAATAATGTCTGCTGGAAACTATGTTAGCCATATAATTCACAGTTAGTTAAAATAATTTCACGAGTGTGTTAGGAACTGCTCATTACACTAACCATTTCAATCAATTTTCGAATTATCTTTCCAGTGGAGACAAACCTTATTCCTTGTGACAAATCTTGATTTGATTTTATCCTACATATTATCCACCGAACACGAACTTATGTATGCAGTACATTTGTTGAAGGGGTCAGATACGGTTCAGTGTATTGCACAATAACATGTTACTAAAGTAGTGAATATATATACATAAATCATAAAAGATTTCAATAGGACTTATTAAATGATGGTAGTGGTAGACATAATCTACACGGCAGTACTAAGGCACGAAAATGTGATACCATACAGTTTAAATGACACGATAAAGGTTTATTCCATCATGAAGATCTTATATTTACAAACCAAAATCATAATATTTCGTATAGCGTAGTGAGTCATGTCTTACGGCTTCAGCAGAATTACTAAATAAGCAAATATGGGGTGAAAAACCGAACGATATGAACAAATAATAGTTCAACTGTATTTGGATTTTCTACTGCTGAGTATTTTATAACATTATGACTGGAGTATAAGCCGGCCAAAGTCCTAATTTCAGTGAACCATCTAATCAAAACTTAACACTGTGGTGAAAACTACTTATAAGAAAGTACATCAGTAGTACACATAACAATATCGGAAAGAACAAATAGTAGTGATGATTGCTTGGTGAACATTCTGGAGGGAAGATTACACAATATCGATCGCAAATATAAAGACAACTTGGTGAAAAAGAGAATATCTTGCTAATATGACATAATTATAAGGTTGAATATTCTTATCAATATAGATCATAATTTTTAAAAACCAACCCCTACTGAAATATTAAACTTCTCAGTTTACTTTTGGACGACTGCACTCATGTCTCTCTAGAAATAAGCACTTAATATGGTGTTTTGCACATTAGTTGGCCTCACCAAAACAAGTGACGAATTCCATGGCTTTCTTTTGAAATGACACAATCAAACACACCTACCATTTACAAAACATGAATGCCAATAGAACAAAAATTGATACAAAGCATAGTCTTATACTTTGGCATTAGAACTGCCCTACAAAAAGGACCACAATGACCAGACCGACTACGAAAACCATTTTTCATGCATTCACTACCTTTCTGAAATACATTTCTGCTTTGTCTGCTAAACCGAAATCATTTAATGCTTACAGTAAACAAGAACGCATGTTAAACTTTCAACAAGTTATCTTTTCTTAAACTCAAGAAATGTTTGCATTACTGTGTCATGCTTCCACCGAGGATCAGTCTTCGTTTCTTTCAAAGCTTATTTGAAGGAAAGGATAGTTCAGTGGATCAGCAGAGATCTATTTTTAAAAAGTATAGTGTACAATGATAAAAATATTCAACCTTACAATATTATCACATTAACAAAACATTCTCTTTTTCGCCAACTCTGTTTGCAGTGTTCTTACCTTCTGTGTTTTTGATCGATATTGCGTAATCTCCCTCCAAAATGCTCACCAAAAGATCGCTACCACTTCTTGTGCTTTCCGACATCGCTATGTCTACTACAGATGTTCATTCTTATAAGTAGCATTCATCACAACTATGCTGTATTAAGTTATCAACTACTTATGATGATAGAAACCTTCAGTGATTTCAAAGAATGCTTATTATCATAATATGTATTCACCTTACATTGCATTTTTCCGGTGAATGTAATCTTCTTTAGAGTGGCCAGAAGTTAAGTAGTTCATGAACCCTATCCAAGTCTACGCAATTAATTTAAGAATTTTCAAGACACTTCTACTCTTATTTTTTATTATGTTGTCATTAGTAATTGTTAAGTAGCAAATTTCTCGGTGGCTATTTCTACATGTTGATGAAAATCTATAAATCACTTTTCAATGTGGTCACAAAGCTGAGAGATTGGATACCGCACTGCTCTTTGCGTGATACTAGGTGACTAAGGTTAATCAGCAAGAAAGCCTACAAATAATAGTTAGCCGGTCACTGGAGAATAATCCATTCAGTGCTATCTGGTTTTAAGCGATGACTAAACTCTTTCTAACTGTCTCCCACTAACTAACTCATGATCGCATTTATTCGCACATGTTTTATGTGAAATTGTGTAGTAATAGTAGTGCCAACTTAATTAAGATACTTAGCATATACTATCTTCACTTTGTACATTCTATTAAAAAATTATTCATGATTCATCGTTGTAAACTGAAATACAAAATAAAAAAGCCATATGGTGCGAAACAAAATTCTATGACGCATTTCTTTTTCAATTCACGCTTCTTTACTAAAGAAGACCAGTTGTCCTATAAAACTAGATTTCTACTGAGGAAAGTCATATTAAACCAGCTCGTTTATTTTAGCCATCCTAGTCAAATTCCGCTGAAATATATATGAATGACATATTATTGACCAAGGCATAAAGAAGGTGGTTCAGTTCCCACTCATTAGAACATTTTCTGACCTAAAAATTTAATATACATGACGTCAGTTTGAATGGAAGTTCAAAAAGTACAGTTTAGTACAGAAGTATGTGTCCATTCAGTATTACCCAAACTTAATCGTACGGTTAAGTAGGATGAAAACTATTCACAAATAAATACATCTCCAGTTCAGGTAGACATATGTTACAACTTGTAAACTGAAATAGAATCATTTCAGCTAATTCATCGACACTCCGTCATTATATAAGTTTGACTTTTTTAAAAAGTATCACAGTTGTCACAGAGTATATGGTTTATAAAATATTGTTGCTGGGTCATCCTTAATCCAAAATGAAATTAATCCGACATCATAAAACAGTCTATAAGGAATACTCATGTTGTTTTTTAGATATCATGATGCATATGGATACTTCTACAAATAGTCAAATGTGATTTTGACAGAATTTTAATGGGACCTTGTTTATCACTTCCAGACAGTAAACTCTTACACAGAAGATTAATGTGAACTGTTACAGGATATAGTAGTGAAAGATGGAACTGGTTATATAGATTTGTGCATAATCTGGACCATCTTAAACCTGTTGTTCCTTTAGTATTGTGATTCAGCATGAAAAATGCTTACACTGAAAGCAGTCTAATGGATAATAAACATTATTTTATGACACGTAGCTTAATACTGACAAAATTTTTATCAGACTTACATAAATTAGTACACAAGTTTGCAGACAAACTTTTCTGAATATTTATGAATTTACCTGAAAGCTTTTGATTTTCTGCTTCCTGAGGATTCATTGTCAACTCATTATCGTTGGTATTTTTTGCGTTTTTCTTCATCTCTTTCTCACCTATCGTGTAATGTTTACCGAAAGTATTTTCCACCCTTCTTCTAGTCAAAATTATATTTTATTCCAAATATCAAAATGTCCTCCAGTTCTTCACTTGAATAATTTGTAGGCACACTGGATATAAGGAAGGTATACTCTTTATGTCTTTTCTGAAAACGTAATATGTATGAAAATTTCGACTAGATAAGTTGCATGCATAAGAATGACCCTGTCCTTAGAGTGCCAAATTTTTTAGAAGGAACCTTGATTTGCAGAAATCTGATTGAACAAAATTAGGCCAATCATACAGCTAACTGAAAAAAATATTATTGGTCATAATAATTTACTGTGCATTCGCAAGTATCCATTAAATTTAGTATCTTATTATGTTGTATCTTTGCAAAGTATTTGATATCTAATTCATGAAAATGAAAGAGTAACCTTCTTTTAGTTATGACTACTGTATATAAAGGCGGATGAATAAACGATTCTAGCGTAAAATTGCTTGTAGAGAACTATAAATGGTACAACAGTGCATGAAAGGATGTAGGAAAAATACTACTATGCACGTTTTTATGTTTGCTCGTCTTACCAAAGGAACAAAAATATACTTAGGTCACTACAATGCTAAACAAAATTGTGAAGTGAATTATCTTAAAAAATGAATCCTCAGTAATCATTCGGTCTGCGTTGTTCGTCCGTCATAACTACAACGAAACGGATGTATTTTTCAAAGGTTTCTCTTCTCCTCATAAGTACACTGTCTAAAACTTTTAACGTTAAACCAAAACACCAATAAAGAACAGGATTAAGCAAGCATTTGGGCAGAAGGACTGACTTCGACTAAACTCCAGAAAACGCTTTGAGCATATTTGTTACGCAAAGAAAGATTAGCAACGAAGGTAGAGTAGCATTCATAATTTTATTGTTGGAGTTTAGAAGAACAGTTGGTGGATTACAGCAGATGATTTACGGTTAAGTAAGGAAACTGTAATTTTATGGGTTTTTAGGATCAGTAATGGTTTTTGTTATTTACATTCATTCTACTGTCTCATGAAGCTTAATTTATTCACATTCACAGTACTCAGGAATTTGTACTCTGTGACCAAAGAAAACAGAAACTTAATACTCCATGTTAATCCGGACGAATCTTCCGCATAACAATAACTTTGATCGAAGCCTCTCTGAAAAAGTACTTGTTGATTTTAGGCTGAAGATAGTTTTTGCAGATGTTACTTTCTCAGTTGATTTCCCACTCGTGCCTACTCTAATGAGCCCACTCGTGTGCATTACACAATCGTAAATTAAGAGACTATCCCTCAGGTGAAACAGGGGACAGCGAGGAAACAAAAATCCCCTTATCTTTCCCTTGTGGGGCTATACATCTTGTTTTTCAAATCTTTCTCGCATTATTTGTGCTCTTTCAGAGTGTTAAGATCCAAAAATAAAGCACAGCTGGAATGACGTACAGACCAGTCCAATTAACGAAAAATTTTGAGTATTTTGGCTGGGTTTTTAGTGTTGTTAGTAGAAATGTGACCACCGATTTCGAAGGTTAGATTTCTCTGTAGATTTATGCACTGATGGTATAATAACACAGGAATTTAAGAAAAGCAATACTGCTGAGTTATCAATTATATTAAAGTTGACTGAAACAGAACAAATCACTGACACATTAAGGGGAGCAAAGTAAACGAACTTAACGGTATAGTGAAAGGTTCTGAACACTAAGCTGGACTATAAAGCCACATATTGGATGAAATTGGTAACCCACATCGAGGAGCCACTAAACAATACAATATTTAAGATAGATTCAATACTGTTGCAAAGAATAGAATTAAACTAACGTTTATCTCGCAGGATTAAACTTGCGTACTTTCGGCAGTAACTACCAGTGGAAATGTGGAATGCATTTGACAGCATTTGAAATTGTATATTAGTCCCAGTTAACATTCACATCTCAGTTTACATCGGTTACCCACTAGAAACTTGTATGCAGATATATCATCTTGACAAGTCTTGAATAAGATAAAACAGTCATTATGAAATTAATTTCAAACCACTTCTAAATTCAGTCACAGACAACGTTGAAGCACAGGTAGGAAGAACCCATGTGTCAATAGACCTTAAGAAATTTGGTTTGATTATTTTCCATTTTGGGAAATCTTTAAATTCAGTAACAAAATATAGGCTTACTTAGCGTTTTCTAAAATTTTCAACTAAATAGTACACGCAACTTATAAACTTGCAATAAATTAAGTTAATGAACATTTGCAATATTATCTAAATATATTATCCAGTGTGTAGTAAATGGTAACCACTGATCGACCGAAATCCTTACAAACCCTAGTTATGGCAATTGTTACAACTTATACGGAAGGTGTATATAAAACCTAGGAGAAGATCATACAGATTCTGAGATCGAAACCTGTATCATTCAGTGGTATAGCCATAGCATCATTCGAGTGTTTCAGTTTTCTTAATAGGTATTAGGTAGTATGATTGTAATACTTTTCAGAGTTGCGGAATAATTAGTTAGACGTTTCATTCTTGACCACGAAAATCGAATCACAAATTCATTCCACTCATTGGGGTTTCTAAGACAACTGTTGTCTCATTCATAAAATTTTACACTAACTTGTGAACAACTTGTCAGTTTGATAGTTTGCGCAATGTAAAAAAGCAGTTTTCAAACTGGGATTAAAAGTCATTAGGATTTGAAAAGTTCTATGTAGTGCGTGAAATACCACAAATATATCACTCCTGCTGTTTGAATTTATGCTTATGAAGTAAACAGTTATCTTTGAATTACATATATGAAAATTTGGAATTATCATGATTTGTCTACTGCTGTTTGCACTTTTACGAAATTAACTGTGATCAACCGTCTCATAAATCTTTATCAAGTACGTACAACCATAAGAAAGGAACAGCTGAGTGTAGTCAACACAGATACACGTATGATTACGCTTGAATTAGATGGCATAAGTTAGATGTTCACTGAGCAATCATAAGTTTTGCTACAGTAACTGATGTGGTTATGACATTAGGAAGTAAAACACAGCCTCTTTTGTGGAGTTTTGGGCTGATTGATTCTGTTTGTTAACCAAGATTTGAGCTACAGGATTTTATGTTCTCCTGCTTATAAAAAGAAACTATGCACCAATGAAAGTGAAAATGGTATGCTAATTGTGCGTACAATATTGAGTTCCAGACAAACTTAAGGTTATAACAACAACCATTAATCAAAAATCTCAGAAAACTACATCCTTGGATTGAATTTGTGAAAGTAACTAACTTTTGAAGACCGGATAAGTTTTTACCAGTTTTTAGTAGAAATGTATCAGTGAAGTAATCAGGGAAAATCCGGAAAATGGAAATGTTTTTCAAAGTCTGGATCCTCTTAGGCGAACTGTCTGATATGGTTGGTTTTAGTTCATATTTTAAGGGATTAGAGCTGCAGCTGGCTATTAACTATTTTAATAGAAAACTGAGAATTTTTGTTCTAAACAACCGCCAGATAAAGTGTTATGAAGTGTGACAATATCCTCTAGATTCCTCAAAGAAGCCTAGGTATCCCTGAAAATCCTTCACAACCAATCACGAATGTCGAAAGTTTGATAAAAACCACGTAATCTTGCGTGTGAGACTCAGATTGGTTACTGGGCTCTCTATAAAAGTGCAGAACTAAGGCCATCAGCAAATGCATATAAACTTTATTTTTCTACATATTTGACTGGACAGTAAACCGTTATCGTTTTTGCCACTTTTTTTCTGTTTACCAGGAACTGAGTAATCATCAAGGATGAAGTCTAAGATTATCGTTTAAGAGTCCACTTCTATATATATAACACAAGTATATATCATAAAGACAAGTACTCATGGATAAAATCAAA